CACACACTCTCACACACATCCTCTCACACACACCCACCCTCACACACACACCCTCACCCACACACTCAAACCTCACACACACTCACACACCCTCACACACTCTCACACACTCTCACACACTCAAACACTCTCACACACACTCACACACACTCTCACACTTCTTACCTTAGATGTCTGATGTTGGACCTTAGACGTCTGACGTTGGACCTTAGACTTCTGACCTTAGACTTCTTTAGACGTCTGACGTTGGACCTTAGAGACTTTGAACTTAGACATTTAAAGGTAAGAGATCTAAGGTCAAATGTCCAAGGTAAGAATAAGTTTTGTGGTGTAAGTTTACTTATTATTGAAATCGAAGAAAAAGAAATGCTTCTCACTGCAATCTGGAAAGTGTGAAAAGGTGTCTCAAATAAAAGGTTTAAGTAAAAACGCATAAAAACCCGGAGAAAATGGACAGTAAACTGACCTCATATTGCACGGCATTTTACTGTTTTTGTTCTCCAGGTATTGATTTTATTTTTAAAGACCATTGCTTATCAAATTTGTTTCCTTAGTGATCTCTTACCTTTAAATGTCTATCACGCACAAATATTTTGTCTATGGTGTTGAATAACATTTACAATGAAAAGTTATTTTATTAAATTATTTTATATCTACAAAATATTTAAGCTTTATTTTATAGTGCTTTATATAATCATTGTTACTATTTACAGTTGCTGGCTTTAAATTATATAACTTATTTTTTTATAAGAAATCTAAATTTTATAGCTTAAATAGTATATAATTTTAAATTTTCTGTAAGAATATACTTATGAAATGCAATGTGTTAATTGCAAGTGTCGTAAGAACAGCGCATTTACCGTTTGCACGATAACGTAATAAAGATTGTTCAAACAACTTAAAATTGTATTGAATTTTGAAAGAATAGAAGTTACCAATAATTCTTCCAAACAAAACATCGCATTTACAAAAATGCAAAAAAAAAAAAAAAAAAAAAAAAAAAAAAATTTACTTTTTGAAACACGTTTCTCTACTCTCAACTGGTGGTACGCAAGAGCAAAATAGGTGGTACACATAAAGAAACAAAGGACTTTTAAGTATAAATTAAAAAATCTCGTGACAAAAAAAAAAAAGAACACTTGATATATATATTTCCTAACTGAAGATTTCATAAATAACACTTGTTAATATTTGGCTCAAACGAAAAAATAACTTAAAGGCATTTCAAATAAAGCTAGTAAATTTTATTACTTTTTTTACACAATCTATTTGCGTGAACAAAATTTTGAAAAATAAATATAAAATAAAATTAAAAGTAGATCCTCATTTGCGCTTAAAACTAAGTGAAATAATAAGGAAACTGATCTCTACTAAACAGGCCCAAATTTCGCACTAAATTTTAGAATTAAAGTATGATAATTTAAATTTTGATAATAAAAATGGTAACCAATTTTTAATCTAATATTTTTAGGTGTGTATATTTAATACAAATAACCAATATGCTGCACAAATGGCAATATATATATTTTATAAACTGAAAAATAACCATTGTTATTTTTTAAAGTTGTTTAATTGCCGCTAAGCCTTTTTTAATGGCGGCCATTGATGTTTACATTTGAAACGGGAGACTAGTGGATTTGTTGCCAATCTAGAGAGACTAAGCTTCGCAACAACAAAGATAACGCCTTCATTTATTATTGCGAATTAAATCATGCTTAATCCTTTCTGGAGTTTCTTCGAGGAAATAAGTGTTCAAGATTTACTTCGTAATTTTTAATATAGATATTCTGAATTTTTCATGTATTTTTGCCTTCTCGCGAAGTGAGAACCGAATTAATTAAATGAGAAATACTCAATCGTCTGTGAAAAGCTGTTTCTTTTTTGTTTTGTTTGCTTAATTTCTTTTATACATAAGTCTAGCTTTATTATAGTATTTGAATAGAACATGTGGCAACGATTAGATAATTCTTTAAATGATATACATTATGTGCATTCTGAGTTATAATATGAATGAAATATAATTCTGTTAAGTAAACCTAGCGCCAGAGTGTCGCTATGGTAAACAAAGTGAATTTTAAAGAATGCATTTATTCTATTGTGGTTTATGCGCTGTCCGCGAAGTAGGTTTAATTCAATCTAATAAGCTTAAATAAAAGGCAAGAAAAATGCGTATAATTTAATATTCCGTACAAGGAAGTCATGTGGTGTACACATCAGATTTTTTTTTAAAGTAGACGTAGACCTTTTTCAGGACCCAGAAAAGAATTGTAAAAACTTTGGTGACGATAGCTATAGTAGTGACTCAGATATCAGCAGATTTTCTTATATATATATATGCTATAACCACATATAATAAAAATTGGCCATCGTATTGACACCTACTAGGAAAGGTATAAATATCATTACGTGGATTGCTGTAGGGAAGGCATAAATGTCATATATGGGACATGGGGGCACTTTTAAAATACTGTTCGTCTCGAAAGAATTGCCGTAGAGTAAGAAAAGGTAAGAGACATTTGAATCTATCCCGGTGAGTATTCTCTATCGAAACCTGGACAAAGCCGGAGAAGTTTATACTGTCGTATGTAAGTTCCCCAAGACTTAAACCAACAAGAGACTCTTTACAGGCATTTAGCCACATTATTTTAGCCAGGCTGGCTTAATTTACATTGTGTTCAGATCAAGAGCAGCACAATTCTAACGTATTTTTATAAATTGCTAATAAAATACTACACTTAGTAAAGAGTGGTTTCTTATTTGTAGAAAATAATTTTGAGACATTTTTTAAAGAATTTGAATAGCACTTTATTCGTGCATTAAAGGATAAATTTTAATTCCTTCAAGGCTAATAATATTTAAATTTTCTTTCTTAGCTTTGGAAGACTTTGTAGTTGGGCACATATTTTCAACATTTCTAAATTCTTACACTATAAATCTCGCAGGGTGGGATTTGGAGGGTGACAGCCATGGAGGTAGGAAAGGGAGGAAGGGCCATTTCGCGCAGCGCTTTAGCTAAATCATCTAAACGTGCTGATGATAAGATTCCTATTTCTATGTATTTCTTTTCTCCTGATGACCTTTAGCTGCCCTCGAAATCGATTTAGTGTTTCATTATACCTACGCTAAATATAAGGTTGTTTTTTACGATTTTGATTGTCACATTAGCGTGTTTCTCTTCTAGTCTTCTTTGTTTACATTCAGAAGCTCGTTTGACAAGATTCTGATAGTATTTCGACACACGACAGTTCCATAGAAATCGAAAAAGGGACACTCTCGCATGAAAGAAACATTCATAGTGTGATGGATAATAGCAATTTGTATAGTTTACTAACATTTACGCAAAAATCACATCTTGGTTATTCTTCGATAACTAACAACAGCGATTTTGATTATGAATTTGTTTTATAAAATTCTAAGCAGTTGCACTACAAAAATATAGATTTTAAGAAAATTGCTAAAAGAGATCTGCCAAAATTTATTTTCTAGAAGATTTGAAAAGTTTGAAACTTGATGACTAAATGTAAATATAAAATTATGTATGTTAAAATATTTGTAATAAGGCACATAGGTCAGATTAAGTTTTTATTAAATAGAGTAACACATGCTAGGGCTATCTGCCTAAAGAGAGAGATGCCATCGTGGAGGAATTTTGAAGAAAAACTGACCTCTGAGTGGGTATTAAAAATAATACTTATAATTTTCATTCAAATTATATTCATATGTATTTTTTATGTAAAACTTTCGGGTGTATGCTAAATTAGTGTAAATTACTTTACACGAAAAATATAGTGAATGCACAGAAATTAAAGATTTGCACATGCCGGAAATGATAAATAGGAAATATGTATGGGTATTTATGCATGTGCTTGCAAAAAGCATGTATCTGCCTTTGACAAAATACTTAAATATTCATTTAATTATTTATAAATGTATTTGAAATGAAGAATTTATTCACTTATAAACAACTGTGAAAGTACTGTGAAGAAGAAATTTAATGATTAAATGTATCTAATTTATAATGATTATAAATGTTATCTAAATATATAATAACCTTAATATTGAATTGTAAACATAAATTGAAATCCTGTTGACAAATACGTTATAAAACTATTTAAGCAAGAATTGTTCGTATTGGAAAGCAATCTGTTAAAAGGTATTGTAAAGCAAATGCTATGAGATGCGCACTTAAGAACGTAATAAAGAGTTTTGGAATATGTATTGTTGAAATGAAGGGTAAAAAAAAAAAAAAAAAAAAAAAAAAAAAAAAAAAAAATCTGATAAGTATAATTAAAAGAATTATTCCCTTTACATTTTATAATAACTCAGTTACAAGTTTTAAATAATACTTAAAAAAAAACACTTATTTTATTCCCTTTCAGAAATGTTCAGAGAAAGTCAAATACTATTTAATACCTATTTAATTTTCGCTAATTCCTAATAATTCTCTAATTTAAAATGAACCGAATAGAGCATTAATTATAAAATGACTTACATTTTTCGATTTAAAAGAAGCCAAAAAATAATGTCATATTTAAGAAAGTATTTTAAGAAGCTCTATAAATAATGCATAATTTTAATATTAATAATACAATAAACTTTGATCTTAATTTTTGTACCTTAACCGAATAAAATCGAATTACCTTAATTTTTTTTAATGTAATTAACGAAAACTTGTGAAAATATTTCATTCAAATTAAACCATTCTGAGAAAACTGTCCTGTGAAAAGTATAGCATTTAATTCCGTTCAGAATGAAATGTTGTTTAAAAATATGTTGTTTTCACATACTTAGGACTCTGAAGTGTTGTAGAAAAAGAAAATATATACATTTATATGTATATTTGCGACGTAATTACAAAATATTTACACCCGAACGCGTCAAATCCCATAGAACTCAATGGTAAATGACCCAATGTTTTGGTCACCACGTAGGGATCGCCGGTGCTTCAGAGCAGGGTACGGAGAAACTTGTTTAGGGCGACTCCATCTTACTTCCTACCTCCATGGTGACAGCAGTTTTCGCTCCGTTTCGTGTCAAACAACGCAAATTTACTGTCTTGGTAGCAGAACATGTTTCCCACTTGCAATAATAACCTTGGGGAAGGGAGTGAATTGAAGGAGCAGGACGACCTCCTGTCTTGTCATTGTCCACCCAGACTGACCAAACAAGTTTGCTAAGCCAAAGAACGTTCTTTGGCTAAGCGCCATTTCAAGCGAGGACAGTCGTAACAATGGATACAGCTCCTTTGCCAAAAGTAAGTTCGCTTTTAAAATATATATACAATTATTTCTTAATATAAATATCTTAATTATTATAAATTATAGTTAGTTTATGTGTCAAAATTTAAGTATGTAATAAAAAGTAGTTTTAGTTTGCTCTTTTTTTTAGGTGTCTGTAAATTTGCTTTAAGAGTGTAATGCTGTAACGTAGTTTTATTTATTACGTAATGCTAACACAATGAAAGCTGTACGTATGGATGGTACTTTTTGTAAATAATTCTTAACATTATTTTTATTTTTGAACAATTTACACAAAGCTATCGAATTTAATTATTTAAATTTAGTTTTGCATGCATTCCTATTTTAAATAGGAAGAACAGCGGTGTGGAAAAAAAAAATGCATACTAAAGTTTTGATTTTTTTTAATAACACAAGTGTGTAAATTATTTGGTAGTATTGGAAGAAATAAAAACCGTATACTTTACTGAATTTCCTATTAAAGTCATATCGTTTTCAGCTTCTAGTAGTTTTTAATAGATTTTTAACTTTCATTTTTTATAAATTCTGCTTATAGTTTGTGACAATAAAATTCACTTACTGTTGCAAAGCTGAATTTTTCCAAAATATAAATACTAGCACTACCTGGGTCATATCAACATTCTAAAACTTATATTTTTGCAAATATGTTGTTATTCTCGAGAGTGTAGGTGTAGCTAAGGCCTCTTGAACATTCAGAAGTCCGGGAGGCCAATAAAGCTGCTAAGACGGCTTTCCGTTTACGATTTTAAAAAAATCTTGCATTCTTTAAAAAAGACTGAAAGCTTCAGATTTTAAATTACGTCCAAAGGGGCGTTTTTTTAACATTTTGTGTGTTACCTTTATTTATAAAATATCATGTTCTTCGCAGTTAAACCATAAAAACATTCAACAGCAATATCGCAAAATAATTTTAAAATGAACATATCTTTAGAATTTCCAATTTCCAATACTCTCGCGAGCTGGAGATTTTTTTTTTTTTTTTTTTTTTTTTTTACTCGTACAGTCTTGCCATTGCTCGCTTTGAAATCGTTTACTTTGTTAATCAAAAATTCGTTGAAGTATTAGAAAATATTAAATAATAAAGCAAATAATAAAACCAATTTCAAATTCCAATTAGGGCTTCCACATGCCCATATTCTATGGAAGATTACCTTATTCAAATTTTGTTGGCTCTAGGTACCGTTGTTTTATTGCAATACGAGAAACATACATACATTCATGCAGATTCTTCATTATTTAATTTCTTTAAATATAATGTTTGGTGGCAGCAATTTGAAATGAAACATATCGGGAATATGCAAAATGCAAAATATATGCAAAATGCCAAAACGAAATTAACAATCCTTCTGGGAGAATTGTCCCTTTGGACTAAAAAAAAAAACCTTGTCCATTCTGCATAGGTTCCATATTCCTAATACTTGTGCCACAGCAAATTGTCAAATTTATCTGCCCCTTGTCTTTCTTTTAAACTGTAGCACAATAAAATACTTTTTTTTTTCAGGAGGCATTACATGATAGTTCAAAATTATCAGATTTTTATAACTGCAAGAAGTTCCCGAAGATGCTGTTAATGTCCTAAAAGGTAATTTTATTTTCTACTCTGTTTTAAATTAAAAACTATACCTAGTCCGGATTTTTGAAAATTCCAGATATTCAGTTGACTTTATATGCTATATATACATGTATTTATTTTATGCTAAATATGTATTTACTGACAAATATACGTATATGCCAATATATAATATGTACATCAAATGTTTATTTCTTTTAATGCAAATAAGAAAATTAAAAAAACAGTATTTATTTTTAAAAAATGTAAGGCATGTTTTTTTCAGACTTAATTAAATAGTAAAATTCGTACATGTCTAAACATTTTTATTTCAACTGAAACAAAACGACTTTTTTATATGTAAGCCATAAAACCTAAATGTTTGATGCATTTTTATTTTATAATATGAAAATTAAGCAATATTGCCTTATATTTGTGGCAGCGCCTATCATATTTAAAAAATTAACTTATTTTATTAACAGATAATAGAATGCACAATTAAAAAACAGCTTCCCCTCCCTTCTATTGCGGGAGAAAACCTAATTCGACGGGTTATTTTTATTTATTTATTTCCCCTTCTAAGAAAACTTGTCAGGCATACTTTCAAAATTGTCGAAATATATACTAATTTAAACATGATAATTCTGAAATGATTCATAGATAAATTCATATACATCAAACTCAATAGTTAGAAAGTTAAACTAATGACATTTACTTATTACTTTTCAAGATTATTGCCTTTTCATTTCAATTAGTTATTATATCTTCTCCTAGTGATATTAAAATGAGTGAGAGGATCTGATGAAGTAATGTTCAAAATAATATAATTGTTTACATTAGCAAAAGCTATTGTTGTATCAAACAAGTCTTATAAACCTTTTCGGTACTTTTCCGTTATGCCGGCGCAAGCGATAAAGTCGCCAATAATGGTACAACCGATTCCAAACGAAATATTCTCGCTGGTAACCTTTTACGCCTCATTTTAGAAACAAGTCGCAGCTTTTTCTTATCAGATTGATTGTTTCTTTCAATACTGGTATATTACATAGGATTTTTATCAGATAGTACAGTTTTATGTCTAAGGCCATTTTCGGTAATTAAGTCAAATAGGATGCAATCACAGCGCTTACCCGAAGCCGAAAATATAGAAAAGGTAAAGTCAAGGCTTAAATTCATCCATTCTAATGAGAATGCATTAGCGGCGAATTCAGTCATGCAATCTGCCTTAAAAAGTTGATGAGGACAATAAATATCATAAAATCACTTAGCAAAATACTAAAAGAGAAGTAAAACAGTACTTACAACCCTAATTAAAGCAAATATATTCAATTTAATCGCACATAAGCTCCAAACAGGTAAGGCTGCAACTGATCAGCAATTATGTTCAGAGAGCCCTCGTTTTTCATGGTCTGTTCTATCAATTAAGGGTCTCAGAGCCGTCCCTAAGAACATCCCCCAAAGCATAATACTCGCTACTACCACCCGCCTGTGTATGACCTGCTGTACAGGGAAGGGGGCAGCGAATGCACGCCTGGAAGACGGCATATCCTGACTAGAGCATAGACCATCGACATGATAAATGAGAAATCGTGATCCATGACAGGCAGCTGTCTTCCACTTATCCATTGTCTAATCTTGTTATTCCCGGTCCTATTGTAAGCGTAGTTGGCAATGACGCTTAATCAACAGAGACAGACGAGTGGGACGTCTGTTGCGCCGTCCAGTAATGTCCGCTGAACTGTGTCTTCCGACACACATGTACTTGAAATTATGTGGTATTAAAGTGTAAGCTGAGCCACTGCCTGGCGTCGTCGAAAGCGAGAAAGTCTTAGAAGACCTTTTTTTTTATCCAACACATTGACGTCTACTGCTGGTTTCGCCTTCATTTATCAACTACGCATAACGCACTAACAATGGCTAATCGTAAACAACCTACCAAGTCGTGCAGATTCGGAGATACTCGTTCCTAATCTTCGACAATCACAATATGCCCTCTGTCAAATTCGCTTAGAGCCCATTACTCGCAAGTAAAGCAAGAAGATTCCTTATCTTTCCAGCAGAGCTGAATACCATTCAAATTCAATCACCTGCGTCATCCAGAGAAGTTCATTGAAAAACGTGGGGATGGTCATAATGTTTTGGCTCGTCAATGTACTTATAGCTGAAAGCATCTCTTACCAAAAGTGCTACGATTAAAGTGGAAATAATTTGCGTTTAATCGCCAGAAAAGAATTTGAAAAAGGCTTTAAGTGAGCTTAATCTGCTTTTCAAGGAGGTTAAAAAGCTCTTTCTCTCGTTTTACGACAGATAAAACAGGAAAATAAAACTCTCGCAAAATTACGAACATAGTATTGCAAAATTATGAAGCAAATTTGTAATGATTCGTAAAAATTCGAAGAATAAACATTTTTTTTCATCTAACGCAACCGATACAATTTGTTAAAAGAAGACAATCAAACTAATCTAAAATTAGTTTCATCACAAAGTACAATGTCAGCTCAACTTGTATGAAAAATCAACAATAAATCGACGATGAAAATCCAGTGGCGTAGCGAGGGGGCGGTGCAAGGGAATGTATGATGCCCCGGGCGCCGCTCGCAAGGGGGCGCCAAATGGTCTCCAAACAAGATTTTCCGGAAAATTTCAATTTTTATTTTGATAGATTTCTGGAAAATGTATTTAAAATTAATAATCACTGTAATACAATTAATTATTTATTTCCTTGTATTGCCTGATAAAATGTTTGCAGTACATCAACCAAATATCTCCGTATACAAAACATTCCTTCTGACCACTTTATTTCTCTAAAATAGAGATATATTTTTATATTTTTAAAGGAAATGCAGGTATAGCTCCCGGTTTTTATTTTAAAACGATAACACGACCTTGTCCCGAATTTCTCAAACATATCCATTTTCCAGAAACCGATTCCATGGTCTGAAAATTACATTTTTGGAAACTCCTAACGCTTCCGCTACAAAGGATTGCGTTTCACTCTCCTTTAAACGACTGATGGCCTTCCTGGTTACCGATTCAACTAAGTCATCTTACTGAGACATCAAATATTCATTGCTACAAAGCATTCAACGCGTGTCAATTGTTTTTAATCTGCTACAACAAAAGGAATGCTGCAGGCCGCTCCTTACTCCTTATCTAAAACGCATAGTTTTCGACGTCACAAACTAAATTTACATATTCCCCATTTTATAAACATTATAATTTTCCTTTATAATCTCTTCTATTTCCTTTTCTGAAATAGATTGTTGATTTTATGGTTATTTCATACCGAACCACAATATTCCCTAATTGTTTTGAGCAGTGAATGTGACTGCAAGATGTTCTAAAACACCATTACAGATCTATAGAGAAAATGTTTTTCTAAACCTAAGAGTCACACTTCAAATATTCCTAACTATTGCATTATCAAATGCTAGCTATGAACGTTCGTTCAGCAAATTAAAATTAATTTTGACATATTTACAATCAACGATGGGACAAGATCCCCTAAGTCATCTGGCATTTTTGAATGTGGAAAGAGAAGAATTTGAAAGGATCGACTTTGATGAAGTAATTGATAAATTTGCTTCATCCAAGGCAAGAAAAATGTATACATAGTAATTAATTATATTAATGTATTATAACATTGTATTATTATTAAAAATATATCTACTTATCTATAATATAAAATTTTAATTGTTTAAAAACTGTACTTTTTTAAAAACAATTATAAAAATATGTAAAATAAATAATACTTTTTTAACTAATTCTAGATCATCGTAAGTCTGATTTTTCCGCCGATACAGATACATTTCAGAATCCAATGCTAGTGTGGTTAGGTAGTGACTATTCTTAATATATTTTAGAGTATTTTATGGCAGATTCAGCATTTTAATATTATTTGCATTATTTTTATTACGAATATATTCTACACATTATATTTCTATCAGTGTTTTTTCTGTGGGGGGGGGCGCCAAAAAGGTATTTTGCCCCGGGCGCCAGTTACGCTTGCTACGCCACTGTTAAAATCTTATTTATACTTCGAAACCAAGCCTGCTGAAAGCCTGCAGCACAAGTTTAGGCAGCATCCAATTCCATATTCTAGTGACCAGCATGATCCGTTATAAACTTTCTCGTCATCGTATGATCATAACTGGCATAACATTTCCGAAAAATGAAGTCCTACGAGAGCGTTTATCTTTTTATTGGGAGCAGGTAAACTTTCTTGCGGAGCTGATAAATTAGTTTTATCGCTGAAGTATTTCCTTCAGTTAATAAAAAATATGGAAGAAGTAAAAAATAGTAGCCATTATTTCGAATCATAAAGCTTTTTCTTTTTCTAATTCCGAAACAAGTGCAAAAAAAGAACTAAAAGTTTTTACTGCAGGTATTGATAATTTAATGCAGTTTAACCTTAAAATTAATTAAATTAACAAATCATTGACGCTTGTTTAGGACATTTCTGAATGGTATAAAACAAAAATTTAAAATCGAAATTACATTTTTAGCTTCATGATAACGCAGTTTCAGGGATTTTCCTTTTTGACCACGGATTGTGTAGTGGTGTCATCTACATTTAAATCTTGTAACTAATACATCAAACATATTCCATACTTATATCTTCCATATTTATTATTTTAGTATTCCCTGTTGTTCGACTTACATTTTTTAAAGAAAAAGTAAAAATATAGTTTTTGGGCTTTATGCTTTAAAATAAAAAAATGCAAAATTATCTATTACCTTTTTTTACTTAGAATATTTTAAAATAGTTCTATCAATTCCCAAGCGATGTCGCCACTGTTGTGACATGGTGAATGTTACTGAGAGGAGAGAGGAATGATTTACTCGACGTATTTTACTCTTAGGGCCGGTTCAAAATACCTTAGGAAAAACCTTGTTTAAATCTGGACTAAGAAGTCCAGATTTAAACAAGAATGGATATTTAATAACGTAAATAAATAATTTTTGGTAACGTCAGAACCCTGAGATTAACCATAATAATAAATGAGAATAAAATCATATAAATCTTAAACGTTTTATAGAAGTTTTATATAATCTACACGTCAGAAAGCAAGAACTAGTGATCCAAATGTTTTCGATGCTCCAAATCTTCAATTTTTCCCAAAAGTTCGATGCCCAAATCTTCGATTTGCTGAACCGCAAAATCACTACATCGAAATACGCCATAGACAGAAACAGTTCATGGATGGGCATTAAGTTATTATATTACAGGATCCGCCCAACCGGGATAGTGGTTAGTGACTGACTGTCACGCCGAAGAATAAGGTTCGATTCCCGGATAAGGCGTGGATGTTTATAAATGAATAGTGTTTGTGTGGCATGGTGGTACTCGATCGAACTGCCAGCTTTCAGCGACTTTACCGCTCGGCTGCAAGTGGGCATTAAGTGTGTAGGAGAAATAAGATGTGTATAATTTAAAAATAAAAGTGCTAAAAAGGAAGAACGTTTAGACAAAAGAGTTACCATCACACTTCTGGCCGAGTGCCCGAGCTGGAGCTCAATTGAAATGCAATGATTGCTGAAATGCTTTCTCGTGCTTTTCTCTTTTCTCAAAAAATATTGTATTCCAATCCACTGCCCAATGAATTAATGTTTTTATCAAAATCTTTAAGGACAGTATTGAAACATATACGTGACTTAAATGTACTGGCGGGCCGCATAAATTTCCTTCAGGGGCAGCATGCGACCCGCAGGCAGCCAATTTGAAGCTATACAAGTATATTTATATTTGCAATTTGCATAAATTATACAAAGCATATTTGACTTGTTTAATAATTAAAATATTTTGGAATTGGAGCTTGAAATAATAGACAATGTTTTGTAATAATTTTTTTTTTTTTTTTTTTCGGGCTGCGGACATAAACACTGCATAAAAATAAGCAGCAAGAAACAAGCTGCTAGAAACAGAAGAAATGTCTAGCAGAAGCGCGACGAAATGTGAATGAAATGCGAGTAAAACATCGAAAGATTCCCAGTCAGCAGAAAAGAACAACGACGCATTTTTTTTTTTTTTTTTTTTTTTTTTTTTTTTCTCTCTCCTCGGAAGAAAAAATTAAACGCGGAGTGTGTCTGTACACATGCTGCCCATTAAAAAACTTTCTTTATATAAAATATGATGCGTAAATCTCTACATATTATAAAAGAAAGTGGTGTATGTGTGTGTGTCTTTCGTTTGCGCTGAGCGTAAGCTAATAGACCCACGACTACGAAATTTGGTACATAGGTGCATCTAGACAAGAGCCAGTGCACCTCGAAGCGATTTTTTCGAAATTCGAATTCGAATTATTATTATTATTATTTTTTATTTTATTTTATGTTTTGTGACGAAATCGCGTTATTTTGAGACATAATGGGCTATAGGAACCCGAGATTTTACTCTACACACTCCATTTTTACATCGTCATGAAACATAGGCATTTAGTTATTTTACGATTTTAAAATAAATTTCGTGTTTCAATTAAATCGATTAAATTTGAATTTATTTAACAAAGGGAGCTTAACATCTTTTCAACGGGATTTTTTCAAAAAACGTTTATTTTGAAAAATGTACAGTTTATTTTTCTTTGATTTTTGGAAACGTTAAACTTTCATTTTGTTATATAATACATTTTTATTGATTTTTTTTTTTTTTTTTTTTTTTTTTTTTTTTTTTTTTTGATAAAGTTGTTTTGTACAGTAAAATTCTGCGCGGAATTTTAAGTTTTTTGAGTTGCTTTCATGTTATTTTTTGCTTATTTCACTGTTTGTAAGATATTGAAAATTTTGCATGATTTTTTTTCTTCAACGGAAAGTTGGTTAAATTTTTTTATTAGGATAATTAATATTTGTATTAAGGGATATAGCTTATTTGATTGTAATTTTTTTCTCTTGAAAATGTAAGATAAAATATCATTAATTATACTTTGCTTTTCAGAATTTTTTGTATTCTTTTATGTTAGTTACTGCTCATTTCACTGTTTTTAAGATATTGAAAAGTTTTGAGTGATTTTCTTAAGAAACAAAGTTCTTAACCTCCTTTATACCATTTGAGTTTTTAAGATTTTGCAATGGGAAGTTGATTAATTTATTTATTAGGATAATTAATATTTGTATTAAGGGATATTGCTTATTTCATTGCAATTTTGTTATACGTAATAACTTTTTTAATGAAGTTGTCCTTCAGAGTAAAATTCTACGCAGTTTTTAAGTTTAACATTTGGTGTTTCCTTGAACCATTTTTCCGATACATTTAAAAGCCAGACGAAGGCTGGCAGCGAAGCGGTTAGTATATATATATATATAGTATATATATATATATATATATAAAACGAGTTTTGCAAAGCGTATATTTTTAAATATAAATGATGTGAAAACCAAGGAAAGATGGCAAAAAGTAATTCAAATGGAATTAGAGCAGAATGGAGTCTGAAGAAGATAAAATATACTTTTTAGAACAGTAATAAAAGTTATATTATCTCAACAATCACAGTACCCACGATGTTAGCGGCCGAGAGGTAAAGTCGCTGAAGATTCGCATTTCAGTCCGGGGTCGAATCCCGGCATAAGCGGTTTCGCCCCTATAAACTGAAGCAGTATTTTCACAGTTCACGAATTATTTCGTTTATGTTAGAACACGCCAATTTCATTAAAGGGTATCAGCAACCCCTATACCGATAATGTTAAATTGGCCATTTTCGACGTACCTTTTCTCAAAGCCTGCTGTAGATACACGCTTGAAATTTTTGGGATAATTAAAGTATACTAATCTTATTATACTGAAATGAGCTTTTGAAACATTTTGAAATTTAGAGTAATATACAGAATATTTTGTTAGGCATAGTAAAATTTAGCACTTTTCTCACACAAAACATTTTTTGAATTTTTTTCTTAGTTTATCACAAAGAGCTCATTTCATTAAACATTAGGAAACCTAATAAATAAGCCATAAAAATTTTAGATACCTGTGAGCAGTAGTTCCTGAGAAAAGGTAAATCGAGTATAAAAAAAATCACGTTTGGAGAAAAACGCGTTTTTATGTAAAAATCCTCCTTTATCAAAGCATTCGATGACAAATTAAAACTAGATTTTATACAGTTCTAATTTTCAGAGATTAAATAATGGTATTTTTAGAAAGATAAAAGTGTAGAGAATTTAAAAAGACAAAAATCCGCAGTCACCGTTTTTTGAAGATTTTGGGGTTCCAACACCCCTTAACATAAAAGTAGGTATGCCTTTGAGGAAGGCTTTCTAAGGAACATGGCTCGTGCTAATGTAAAACGTGGAGAAAACTGGAAAAAAAAAGCCACCTGTTCCAAGGGGTTTGTTCCCAGATCTAACCAGTAATTTTCGGTGTACGATTCTTCCTAAAACGGGGAGATTTGGTTTCGTTTATGTGATAACGGCAAAGCCTCATTGGCTATATTCCTAAGGGGAGAGATGCCATAATGGAACACTTTCTAAGGGATACTGGCTCGTTACATATTTGAAAAATCAAGAAAACGCCCACGCAGCCAGCTCGTTCGCAGGATTCGAACCTCGGACCGAACTCCCAGTGTGCAGCGACATTACCGCTCGGCCGCTGGTGGGCCTTTAAAACGGGGAGGAGATTCGAAGCCTCTTATCGTATTTTCCTCTGCCGGAGGCCGACACTTACAAGTAAATTGATACCGTCTCCCGGCTGAAAGCTTATTCACCTGGGAAATCTTAGGGCAGAGGGACAAGCGTTTAAGCTATAGGGCCCACAAAGTATCCCTCGTTTGTGATGTTAAGTTTTCATCAGTGTTGAAGTTCCAGTTAAATAAACCTTTAAGTTTTAGACAAGGTTTTTGTGTTTTTCAGAAAATTTTAGATTCGAAGTCAGATATAGCACATAGGGTTATTATCGGAAAAATCAACAGTCCTACACTAACCTTGTGCTCCAGCTCTCGTGTGACTTCATGTACTCCATTTGTCTTTTTGTGCCTTAAGTGACTATGTGTATGTACCTGTTTTATGTGCTCTCTGTTTATGCATTTTACGCATTGTGTTTTGTGTATTGTTTGCCTATGTGTTTTTAGGTCTTTTTATGTGTACGTCTTATTGTAAAGTATTTTCAGTTTAACTTCCTACTATCTGTAACACCACAGCTTGCCTCTTCAATCTGTAATATAATCCTACTAATGCCCTTGTAAGGCCAAGTACTTCCCTTTGACAACCTCAATAATCTCCTGGTGCTGCCTCGTGCGGCTCCAGGGAGCTTTTGCTGTAGTTAGACTAGGAAGTGGAACATATGCCTGTTTACCTCTGTTAGACACCAGGCGTTCCAGTCCTCCGTGACCTACCTACCTTTGATACCGGTTTCAAGGAACTCCATATACTTTTCTGAAAGCTCATTTCACAAGTAGAAGAACTGGGAAATCTTAGGGCAGAGGGACAAGCGTTTAGGAGCTATAGGGCGCACAAAGTATCAGAAAAATGTTGGAAACATGACGCCAAAAGTAGCTAAAATACTCGTTTCACGTGTTTATATGAACTAATAATATAGTAAGAAGGTGGGGATCCTTATATAAAGGAAGAAACAACTCGTTAAAAAGAAACATTATACGTTGAGTTGTTGAAAATGTGACTCGTTATTATCTTCAAACAAAATCCATTACAAGAGATAATCCATTTGCAATTCATCGAAGTTCCAACTGCTCTAGGAAAGACATCACGCATGCTCTATAGAGAAGTGGAGAGAGTCCATGCACGACCATTCAATTCATTCATATGATAATTAGAAGTTACAAAACAGAATTCGTGGATAAAGAGAATTTAAAGAAAGGAAAAAATGAGCCTACGGAAATCATCTATATTGTGTTCACTTAACGCTAATATGGAACAAGGAAGTTATTTTTAAATATTTGAAACGTTTCATTTAACAGAAAAAAATTGAGTTTATTTTCGTACATTCAAAGGTGGTGTGGTGTATTTAATTATGGCAAAGCACACGAGGGCTATCTGCCTAAAGGGAGGGATGCCTTTCGTGGAGGACTTTCTAAGGGAAACTGGCTCGTATACACGTTACACATGGGGAAAACCACGAAAACGCCCATGCAGCCAGCCCGTTCGCGGGATTCGAGCCTCAGACCGAACTACCAGTGTTCAGCGTCTTTACCGCTCGGCCGCTGGTGGGCCCGTACATTTAAAGGTAAACTGATTTATTTTTACTGCTAACAAATCAATTATTAGGCCACAAAATAGTTTTGTATTTTATATGTATTTCAACGAATATGATGTTTTCAAGGGTATTTAAAAATTCCTTATCGTTTTATATAAACCTCTGGGTATTGGGCTGTATTAAAGCATGGTACGCCTAATTTCTCCCCAGTCTTCGTTTCTTTAATGTTTAGATTTATATAACACGAAAGATTGACAGTTCAGTGAAGTCTGATTTCTTAAGCTTTCCATTCCTCCTTTTGAACAAGGTTAACAGAAGAAAAATTCTTCTGTTGAATCTGGGCTACCTCCCACAATATTTCCCTGTTTTGAGAGAATATTTCAAACGGCAAGAGGTAAAATTAAGACTAAAGCTGTCTCTTAAAAATCCGAAAATTCGAATTGAAAACAACTTTAAACATAAAATGATCTCTGCAAACTATGTAAGAATTTCAAAGAAAATTTCAGGAAAGCTCAAGCCTTTCTCTGATTCAATTTTTTTTTAGCTCCAATTTTTTTTTTTTTTTTTTTTTTTTTTCTTAATTCATTTACTTTAGAAAGTACACTTAGCCGAATTAAATGCATTGACTTCTGGATGGTCGTCTAGTGAAACCGTATTACTTGTATATTCAAGCTATGGTATGAAAGATACTATATAGCACTGACATGAAGGATATAAACTGATAACATAAATATGTTCATACGCTTGTCATTAATAAATTCTGAAAAGCAAACACGCTTTAAATTTACTAAATTTCTTCTGTATACGTATGTGAATAGGTCAACACGCAGCGGTTTTTTAAAAATGCAGCCGCTCTAAAAGTGTTACAATCAGAAGATGCGGTACAGTAAATTTTGCTGATTAGAAGTGAGTATATTAATTGCAATTACATAAGCGTTACTGCAGCGAACAGCTTTGCGAAATGACAGGTAAAAAAATCATACGAAATGTTTCTCCCACTGTTGTATCAATTTTTTTTACTCTAATTTATGAAATATTTAAGAAAAGTGAAATTACAACAAAATTTGGAATGCCTGAAATGGTAATAATTTCTCCCTGGAGTTCAATTAATTTCTGCTTTTAAATCAATAATTTAATTTCAATATTTCAATATAAGTAATGACTCCAGTTATCAATTGAGTCTCTGTGACAGCCAGCTAAAGGAAACCACCGAGGTTCAGAAAGCTACGAGAGATGACAGTTCAGTCGAGCTAAAGCGGGACTCTCAAATCGGGGGATTCGAATTTTAGAGGGTCTTTGATGTAACAAGCGAGGACGCTGTCTGATAAAGGCTTCCTGGCACGCGACCCATTATCGTTTCCTAGCGGGCGAGCAGCAGTCTACAGATCCAGTGCTATTTTTATGGGGTATGTTACAAGTATGGTAATACTTGGAGTATGCATCGTCCTATGGCGATGTAACACTCATTGAATTTATCTAAAGTGGCTCAGAGGATAAGATTACAGAATACTTGTAGTTTTGTTACGGGGTTGATTTCCAACAGAATTGTCTGGTTGTGTGGATGTTTCTTTATGGTTTTTCTCTTTGCGCAATGGAATGCAGTGGAACCTCCACGAGCAGAAGCTGAAGGGAGATAAAGGGACATTCAAGTAATCGAAAGCTCAGCTTATAAGGTATTTCTCCCGCAGTGGCGTAACTAGGGTGGGGCAAGGGGGGACATCTGTCCCCGAGCGCAGCATCCAAGGGGCACCAAAGTCATGCTACGAAATTTTTTAATGAAATATTTTCCGTTTCTGTCACACAGAAAGGGGCGCAGATTCTTTATTTGTTCCCGGGCGCTAGAAATTCTAGCTACGACCTTGTTCTCCCGCCTTCCTAGCGTGCCTTCGTGGTGTAGTGGTCAGCACAATGAGCCGGTATTTCAGAGGTCCGTGGTTCGATTCCCAGCGAACACGATTGCATATTTTTTCATCCCTCCTGCTTCAAAAATATACCTAATGTCTCTACAGTAGCACCCTAACTAAAAGGATTTTGGATGAGGATTCTCCACACCCAGGATTTGGCGAATGAGTCCCCTAAAAATCCCAGTCGCCCTTTAAAAGGGGGAGTATATAAGGTATTTCTCCTGCCTTCGTAATATAGTGGTTCTGCACGCTGGGCCGGTATTCCAGAGGTCCGCGGTTCGATTCCCGGGGAAAGCGTTGCTAATTTTTCATCTCTCCGGCTTCCAAAAATATACCCAATGTCTCTACAAGCTAATGAGAAAAGGCAATAACAATTTCGAATATACACTTCATCATTCCATTCGACTTATTTAAATTTGAAAAACAGAAGTTCTATTGTACAATTTCTTAAACAGAACAGTTCAGTACAGCTCCATCCGGGATCTAGATTGTTTTCTGTACTTTGAGTAATAAACTACAAATCGTATAAATCAAATAAAAATGCTCTTTTCTTAGAACTAACTCAAGTGTTGACCAAACTTGTTTTAAATGACTTGTCTTGACTTACTTTGTCTTAAATGACAAGTCATTTTATGTTTCTTCCTAATCATTAATGTGAAACCTACTGTAAATATATTAAAAAATTAAATCAATACATGAAATACAAGGAATACATATCACACTAAGCGGAATTCGGTGCAATTATTCTTTTATAATATTCTTTAAAATGGGGCGGGGCGGAATTGTACAGAAAATGTGTACGAAAAAATAGCTAATTCATTAAAATTAAAAAAAAAGATTGTCGGAAGAATCATTTGAGCTCTAAAAAGACAAATAAATAAAAATAAATAAAAATGTCAGAAAAAGTGAAAAGTGAAAAAGCATCAAAAAGCTACAATTTTAAGAAGTTTTTTAAAGTGAAGTTTAGTTTGGTTTATTTATGGGAAAGCACTAGAGAACTATCTGACTAAGGAAAGGTATGCCTTCGCGGAGGGCTTTCTAAGGAAAACTTGCTCGCACAACACGTTACACATACGGAAAATCACGAAAACGCCCATGCAACCAGCCCGTTCGCCGGGATTCAAACCCCAGATCCAACTACTAGTGATCAACGTATTGTATTGTATTGTATTGTATTGTGTGTGATTATGGCAAAGCCTCGAGGGCTATCTGCCTAAGGGGAGGGATGCCTTCGTGGAGAACTTTCCAAGGGAAACACATGTTACACATGGGAAAAACCACGAAAACTCCATGCAGCTAGCCCGTTCGCGGGATTCGAACTACCAGTGTTCAGCGACTTTACCACACTGCCAATGGTGGGCTCGCTAGTGATCAACGATTTTGCCGCTCCGCCGCTGGTTGGCCCTTTTGAAAATTAAGAAAATAACCGTGCAAAACGTGTTATTGAATCAGCAGCAAAGTAGTTACATTTCATTTGTAATTAAGAGGAAAATCTAGTGTTTAAAGAACTCCGGTAAAATCCACCAAAGAACGACAATATACTTCAAAGACAAGACTAAATATATGCAGTTACTCTGATTTTCGCGCCTGTTGAAGACTCTGGGTTAACTGACAGTGGCGAATACATTTTAATGATTTTTTTTTTAAATATTTGTACAGTATAGAATCAGTTTTTTTAAACTTCTTTTAGAAATATGCATATTATTTATACAAATTAGATGATGATACAAAATATATGAGATGAACTATTATAGAAAGTTAGGGTACTTTTCCGTTTCGCCGGCGCAAATCTCGACAAGCAGACTTTATTGGCGACAACATACAGTATACACGTAAAAAATATTTAAAAAATGTTAGTTCTAAGAATTCTTTTTAAAAAAGAAGGCATAAACATTTTAATATCGCTTAAAATTTTATAAAAAGCCAATAAATAAAGACAACAAATTTGTAAAAAGACATTAAGAATTTACTATGCTTTCATGGTTCAACATCCTGATTCGCCGGTTCATATCACG